CGGCCGGGGCAGCGAGCAAGCCACAAGCATCCCTTTGTGAGTGGGAACAGAGGGGCCCTGTGTGCCCCGCACACTCCCCTCCGGCTGCCTGCCCGGCTGGGGGATGCTGAGGGCAAGGGACGGCTCCCTGCCACTGCGAGGAGAGCCCATGGGATGTGGCCACCACCAGTGTCCACTCCCAGGGTATGCACACCCTCCAGTGTGAGCAGACGGACAGACAGACATTACCCCCAGCAGTGGCAGGCAGCAGCTGGACAATGCTCTCACTCTGCACATCTCCAAGCAAGGTGGAATAATTTCCATGAGCACTCAATGGAGACGCCCTGGAAGGTAGCACATGAGGTTTGAGGAAACTCCCCCGGAGCTGCTCCCTGCCTTTTCCCATCCCACAGTTTGGAAATACTTCAGCATTCCGCTCTTTCAGGAGGGATGGCTACAATTCCCCCTGTCGAGATGATAAAAGGCTTTGTGGATTTCCCAGCTGAGTCAAAGCCAGCAAAAGGGCTTTTTCTTTCGGATGGTGGTGGAGGTTTTGTTCCCATGCAAAGCTGCTTGGGTGGATATCTGCCACTACTATGAACAAGTTAACTTAACCCTGCCACAGCAAGAAGGAAGGACTTGGAAACGGAGATGACAAATCACTCAAGTCTGCTGCAGAAAGTTGGCCCATCAGATGGATGGATGGTATCACAGGTGTTGTAGATGCGGTGAGAAGAGCAGTGTAGTCCCAGGGCAAGGATGGCAAGGCTCTGTGGTGAGAGGAAGGAGGAAAGGGATGCTCTTGTCACCCTTCTTCAGGGTGTTCTGCAGAATTGCCTGCCTAGGAGAGTGGAGCCAAGGTTTTCAGCTCAGTTTTGGGAAAGGGAGGGTCTACCACAAAGCCTTGGGGCTCTCATCCCCCTCCTCCAGCTGCCCAGAACACCTACCGGGTGGGATCCAGGAAAGGAAAGCTGACTGTGGGCTGATGGGGAAGCCAGCTGGAGGTGTGACTGGATGAAGTCACATTTTCCTCTGGTGACTCAATAGGCAATAACTGAGCTCCGGACAAAGAATGGCAGCAAAGCACCTACTTGCAAGCTCCCTCCCTGCCCAAGATCCCTCTGTCCATCCAGCCTCCCTGTCTGCTCCTGTACATCCCTGCCCAGATCCTGAGAGAGGGGAGCCCGTGGGGACCTGCGGCTGAGCTTGCTGCCCCTGAATTAATTCCCTCCGTGATGCTTTGCTTCATCAGATTAACAGTAGCAGCGCGAGCCAGCGAAACGCAGAGACACAACAACAAAGCGATAAGGCGCACGGGCTTATCTGCTCTCCCCGCTGCTCTTTGTCTGCAACCTGGGGAAAAAAACCCACCCTAAGCTCCCTCTGTATTTACTCTATCAACTATTTCCGCTCTCGACTTCCTCCCAAGGCTGGCTTTGGGAATCGTGCCACCAACGCTTCCCTCTTTGCTTTCATCTCCCAGCAATTTTCATCCTGCCCCTGGCTCTTCTCCAAGGCATGGCACAAGCACCACACTGCTTCGGTTTGCCCCCTGGCACAGCTAAGGAGGCTGCCCAGGCAGGTATTTTTTGCTTAAAAACATGTGTATTCAAGCTAAAGAGGGGAAAAAAAAGGTCACCTCCTACAATGTTTATAATGTTGCCTGGAATAGCAAATTGAATTGTCAAATTGAAGCCTGGAACCTGCCCATCGGAGGAGAGAGTTTGGAAGGCAAAGTCCCAGCTTGGGCAGGGCCAGGGCGCCAGTGCCTGGGGCAGCCCCAGCCCATCCTGCTGCTGCACAGAGAAACCCGGGCGATGGGATGGACGGGAAGGGCAAAGGTGCTGCTCCCCGGCTCGGGTGACCTCCCAGGGACACAGCCAGGGGTTTGCTCCTCCACATGTTCCATCCCTCAAGTTCAATCAAGTTTGATTCCTCAGGCTTGTTTCTCCTCCCCTCATTCCCTTTCTGGCTCTGCCCCTTGGTCCTTCAACCTGCCTTGGCTTGGTCCTCTGCCTTCCTTGTAAATGGGCACCCCAGGCAAAGCCACCCTTGGGAGCTGAACCACGCAGGTGAGGGTAGAGACAGGAGGTTTTGCTCAGGAGCAGCAGCAGTGGGGTTGTTACAAACAGGCACTGCTTAAATGACTTGGTTTTCATTGCATGTGCTTTCCAGCTCCAGGTGCACAAGGTTGTTTTCTGTCCACTATTTATTACCCCCCTGAGGAGGCACACTGAGCTCTGGGATGACCCAGACGAGATGTCCTTGCTCCTCATGTCCCCAGAAGCACTGCCCAGAAGGGATTTAGAGGCTGGTGTTGGGCACAGTAATGGTGTTGAGAGGACCAGCCCAGGTTTCATGGCCAGGACAGACCCGTCTTTGCTCTCCCTCAAGTTGGGTAGTGTCCAAAGAGAGGTGTTTCCTCCTGAAGAGAGGAGAGCTGCTGCTGCCACCTCAGCCCCTGGTGAACGCGATGGGACTTTCAGAGACATCAGTGATGGGCACGAGGGTAAAATTGCACATCTGCAGGCACGTCAGGCTGTGTTGCCTTGGTTTGATCCAGACCAGGAGCCAGCAGGGACCA